CCACGTGGCTGGGACAGGGTGTGGATGGCAGCGGGGGTGGTGCGTGTACTGGCCGGGCTGCGCGCCTCTCTTCCCTTCCTCATTTGATATGGTATGTCCTAAGTCAGTCCAGTCATTGACCTTAGACATCAGCAGCGCGTAGCTTAGCCCTGGGGCCTTTTGAGTATTCACTATCCAGATATTTTTCAAGAGTTTATTTCTTCTATGGCGAAAAGTACTAAACTTTTATAACCACCAAATATAATCAATTAATTCTGCTAGGAGACTATAATCCATAGAGAAGAGTTTTCCTTTCAGTTTTTAAGAGAAGCACAAATCTCAGTATCTAAAAAAATTGCCTACCCTTTTTACTTTATATTAACATAAGTGACAGTTTAGAACAGTAGTTCTCAACCAGGATTTTATGTATTCCTGGAGGGGGACACGTCTTCTAGGGGTACATCAACTCTCATACATATTTGCCTACATTTACAACAGGCTACACAGAAATCTAGTGAAGTCAGTATAAACTACAATGTCATGCAGACAAAGAAGGACTTGTTTATAATACTCTCTATATTATACATTGAAAAATGTGATGCGGCAGCAGAGAAATAGTTTGCAAAGGCCCCACCACTGACAGGAAGCCCTTTGCAGCATGAGTGGAGAGGGATAGATAACGCTGCATGAAACTGGGCCATTTTCCCTGAGTGAGTCCTTATTGTGGGTGGTTCTTGGTGGGGATGGGGGCTAAAATTATAAACATTCTTAGCCTAATGCACCCACTTGACATCCTTCCTATTCCTATCATGTTCCAATTTAGTCTGCCTGGTCCACCATTTTGAGGGTCAGCTAATGAAAGAGGCAAGAAATGCAGTATGAAGGCGCAAACAAGCAAATTATGCACACCAAAAAAGTGGGAAAAGAAAAGGAGTTGACACTAGATAAAGCGTGCAGTTGGTGATAACAGTAAATCGTTTTGTGAAGCTGATTTGTGCACATCGTGCAGAACTTTTGCAAGATGCCAGGAGGGACAAAGTAAATGCAAACCATTTTCTTCTATGCACCTGACATTGGTTCCATGGAATCAAAGCCTTCCACCACTTGTTGAAGTAGTAGCTGAAAAAATGTGGTCTAAGAAGCCAATCTTCAGCATTAATTTGCACTGTAAGTAATATAATGTAGCCCTAATTCCTGCAAAAGGGCCAGATGCTACTGTGTCACTGGATTTCAAAGAGTCTAAACTAAAAGCACCATCCTATCCTGGAACCAAGTAATTAATAAATTCTGTAATTCAAGACTAAGTCGCAACCTTGCAGAAATAATGAAAAAGACAAGCAACTATTTGTGTTACAATAGCGCCTGGCAGCTCCAAACACCCTAGAGGTCTATTATGCTAGCCCATATAAACACATGGTAAGAAAAGCCCCCACTTACTTTTGTCTTAATGTGTAGATCATGTAAACCTGACCTCTTGATCAAACTAATGAACCAGGAACATAACTAACTGCAGCAGGTAAATAGCTCCAGAAGTAAAACTCCCCTCTCCACTTTTGAATTTCCACTTCCTTTAACACAATTCCATGGACTAAGGAGAATCCTCAGCTGATGGAATGCAAATAAAAGTCTTGTCCAGTCTTTGAACAAGATGGGAGCTTTGGGATAGGACCATGAAGACACTAATAGGAGAGGGCACTATTAGTAACTTGAGAAAAAAAGTTATCCAAGTGACATAGGCACCTAAAGGCTATTGGTTTTTAAATAAATTAAGCTCTTAAATCACTTGTGCTTTTGAAAAATTTTACTCCTCGTCTCTAGTGTTGCAAACGCTCCAGGAATTAATGATTAATTTTTAATTGAAGACTTTAATGTGATGAAATCCCTTAGAATATATCCAACCAAAACTAGCAATCCTATGGCTACGTCTGTCTACATTGCGCATTCTTGTGCAAGATATGCGAATGAGGCATGGTGATGAATACCTAATGAGCCACCATTTTTGCAAAAGGGGATTTTGTGCAAAAAAGTGTACACTGCTCCTTCTTGCACAAAAATGGTGGCTCAGGTGATATTCATTGCTGTGCCTCATTTGCATATCTTCTTGCGCAAGAATGCGCAACATAGATGTAGCCTATGTGTTTCTGTCAGACTAGGGGAACAAAGATAGAAAGAGGGAAGAAAAAATATTTAAAGTTCCAAGAAGTTCACAAGAGTTAAATTTTCAAACGTGAGTAGTGATTTTAGGTACCTTACTTGAGACAACTTAAAGGTGTTTGATTAGCTGAGCCACACACACTTTGAAAACCTTTGAAGATGACTCAAGTTGGGTACCTGAAAAATCACTGATCATTTTTTAAAATGTTTCAATAATAAAACCCAAAAATAACCCAAGTTAAATTCACAGACAGAATTTAGACTGAAAACAGTCAAATCTGCAATCACACACCCATGTACTATGAGAAGAAAGCTAACAACAGAGCCATTTGGATTTCTTTCCTTGTTAAATTCACATAAGCAGGGCTAATGTGTCACTAGGATGCAGGTAAAAGAGATCTATGTTTAGACCGTTCCTATGCCAGTAAGGGATTCGTTTGTACAGTATATTTTACCACCACTGCCATTGGGAAATTATCCCATAGACTTAATATATGAAACATGGATGTGGGAACCAGGAACCCTTAAGTCCTAGTCCCTCCACAGCTACAAACTTAGCTGTGTAATCTTTTGCTAAGACCTATTACCCTCTGTCTCTGGTTCCCAATTTCTAAATTACCTGCCTAACTGAGGTTAATGATGGTGTCTATAACTTTGACAATATAATGCATAAGTGCAAAATGTTATTAATTATTACCTAGAATTAATGCTCTTCCCACACTTTAGCCCAGCCTTGCAGAAAGAACTCTACTTATCTACTTGCTCATGTAATTAAAATGATTACTTTTTGAATCATTACAAAAATAAATGTTAAAAAGTGGATTTTGTGCCTCCGCTGCTAAATGTCCATGATCGTTTTGCCTTAGTCATCTAGCCAAGCTCCAGACAGTGTCGGTCCTTAATTTTTTTCTTCTAAAAATTGGTCCTTTCAGTCTCTTTTCCCTCAGCTTTATAAAATTTAAATTTCAAGTACTGAAGTGCCCTAATGGGAAACAATGCCATAATAAATGTCACCAGTGCAAGTAGCAAATATTCCACTTTAATAGCTCCATATTTTGTATGAGGTTTGCAAAAACGTTATTCCTGATCACTGAAATATCTGCCATTTCTATCTGGAAAGGTCCTCCTAAAACACTTTACATTTTCCCTCACCAAGATGTCACCTACAGGGCACAAGATAATGTTTGGAGTCACAAAGCAATTACAATCTGACTGCATCATGAACAAGCTGAAGCTTCGTTCAGGCTTCAGCTGCTTATACATATCCTCTGACTTCTCTCTCGTGATGATTCAGGAGGAAAAACCAAAAGTGAGTGGCACTGTGAAAGCACAGCCATGTCTTCTTTCTAACAGCCTGACTTATAATTGACCTTTATTTTGTAGGCTAAATCAGCTTATAAGGAAAGTGAGCTGCATGATCCTAGAAAGACCTAAAAATGTGCTTATTGGGCTGGATGTATTTTAACACTTTCTGCCATCTTATAAACTCCACTGTCTTTAAGAAATGAAGGTTGAATAAAGATTTGTACTTGCATGGTGTACAGCAACGGCCTTAAAACAATCAACACCAAGATGGCAGAGGTCTATATAGATGTAATGGAAAACATTGCAGCCTCTAGTTATTTGCTTTGCTTAAAACTGGCACCTTGGCTACAAGGAGCTTTGTGCTTTACAACAACTAAGGCGTTGTCTAGTTACACAACTTCAACGTATTTACATCTGCTTACTGTAGTATCCTCACAGCGGTGAGTTGAAAGCTGGCACTCCCCTGTCAACTCCTCCTACTCTTGTTTTGGTGGAGTCCTAGAGTCAATGGGAGAGTGCTCAACAGTCCATTTATCGCATCTATACCAGACACAATAAATCAACTCCTGCTGGACTGACTGCTGCCCATTGATCAAACCAGTAGGAAAAACATGCCTTACATCACCTCTGTAGCAGTACCGTACTCATGTAACAGGCAATGGTATACAGAGGCAGAGAGACTTGGGGTATTTTCCTTGTTAGGCACCTAAATCCAGACATAAGCAACTAGCTACTCAACCTGCTTTTCAGAAGTGCTGCATGCACATCAGCAGCTCCCAATGACTTTCACTGGAAATTAAGGTATTCAATATACCTCAAGATCAGGCCCCTAATTAGTTGTCTTTTCCCACCCAGTGTCTGAGACACATAAATATACTCACACTGCACCAGATAACTTCTGTCCAAAAGGATATTTCCACCATCAGCAATAGTGGAAATGAAAAAAAAAGAAAAGAGTATAAGGCAGTCAGGTTTGTTTGTTTTTTTATTAAAAAGTTATTTTAAATTTTCACACGTATACTATCGGCTTTCTATCATACTGCAAGATCAGCTAGAGTGAAATTAATTTAGAATATGTACTGTGATTATCCATTTTCATAATCTGTTTTATTAAAATTATTTAATTATGCAAGCATGTTTCAATTTTGCTTTTGCAAAGCAGATACTAAAGATCCATAGCGGATTTATTTCAATATAACTCGTATGTGGTTATAAAATAATGAAAGAAGATAAGTAGTATGCAGTAATAAATTATTAGAACCATGCAAGCAATTCTTAAAAAAGAATAGCAATAAAAAAGGCTATCACCTCAACTGTATCTGATGCTAACTCTATATCTGACTATTGGTTTTGATTCCAAGTGCTTTTACACTGTACTACATAGTATTTTTACTGTTAAAACTGATGAATCTTTTCTGTATTATAAAGAATACTGAAAACGTCCAAGTGTTTAAAATAAGTATGGTTTGTAGAGGACAAAAACAGCTTCCACCTGCTTCCTTTATTTAAGGGACAAGATCTTGAAATGTGAAATAATTTCTTCAGTACAGCTCAATTGTTTGAAAAAAAGCAACACCCTAAAGTACTATTTGTGTTATCAAAGCAAAAGGAAAAACATTTTAGTACGTAAGTTGTTGGCACTATATCTAAAATAAATTGCTTCACCAGCTGGTTTGGCGAACCCTCTTCATATTCACCTTCATGAAGCTTTGCTAGATCAGATGCCGTCTGGCATCTGACCCATTCTTCATCTCCTATTTGTATTGGCATTGTGTCATTTGTCACAGATTGTAAGCTCCGAGCACCAGGGACCGTTGTTTTTCTTTGCTGAATATAGAGCTATGTACACTTGCAGAACTTTACAATAATGAAAAGCAACTAAAAACACACAGTGATTTCTTAGAGTAATCTTATGCTAAATGGGTATCATCCTGCTGATGAAAGGCCTGCTCCTGCACTCCCCAAATGAAGCATTCTTGGGCATTTTAAATCTACAGGAAATGCAGGATTAGTTTGTGGATATTATCAACATAGAACTGAATATAAAGGAACAGTTTAAAATTTCAATTTATTCAATTCTTCAGGAATTCAACTGCCTTAACCACAAGACCACCCTATACAGTTACAAAAGAGGGCTGAATTAAGGCTGAACAGGCAGCCTTAATTCTGCTATTTCCTATTTTTCAAGTGCCTGATTTTGTAATTTTAGTCTTTTAATGTATTTTTATAAGCAATTTTTATACTTAGTGATTTTAGAGCTTATGAAAGTGCCTGACTCAGTCTATCCTCACAACAGGTAGCATCTTATCCATAATGATCATGGCTAGATGCTTTAAACTCCAAAGCAGTCAGATCACCACACAGGGACAGCAGAAGTTCATCTGTATGAAATCCCTTCCCCCAGGGTACAAGGAAAGGAGCCACAACAGTACTGTGTGACCGGGAACTCTTGTAAACAAGGATCTGGACTGAGAGCATACACTCATTTCATGAAATAGGGGCACAGTTTAAGGCGGGGTGGGCAATAATTTTTGATGGGGGGGCCACTCCCAAGATTTTGGAAAGTGGTTGAGGGCCGCACTTCCATTATATTAATGGAGGAAATGCAGGGTCTGGCATGGAGGTTGGGTGCAGAAGGGAGCTTGGGGTAAAGGAGGCAGTGGTGATGTGGGGCATTGGATTGAGGTGCAGGGGTTTGGCTTAACTTAGGACAGAGAGAGGTTGTGACCTGGGGTGCAGGGGTTTGGGTTGTTACTTAGGGCATGAGGGGACTGTGATCTGGGGCAGGAGATTGGGGTGCAAGATCTGGGAGGGAATATAGGTGTAAGAGGGAACAGAAGGTTTGGGTATGTGGAGTAGGGGGACAGAAATGGGAGGCAGAGGTTTGAGGAAGGGAGGGGCTGGGGTTCCAGAGGCAGGTTCTGGCCAGAAGACTTACCTGGGTGACTCCCAACCCGTAGCCCAGCACGTTTCTGGAGGCAGCCTCCCTGCCTGCCCTGCCCCATTCAGGCTGCAGGGCCATCTGCGTATGTGAATAACTATGAGCCAGAGGGGAGGGGACAAGGTGCTTCATAGCTGCCTGTTATTCAAACAGGCAGCTCCCACTGGACGGTTTCTGGCCAGAAACTGGCCAATGGGATTGTGCTGGTGCTGGGTGCGGGGGCAGTGCCTGAAGCCTCCTCCCCCCAACCCCGGTTCAGTTTTGAAAGAAAAATGGCCCAGCAACCGCTTTTTTGAGTAATATGCAGGTGGGGCGAGGCAAGCAGGGAGCCTGCTTGGGGCTACCTGCTGCATCCACAGATCAGATCTGGTAGCTTGGTGGGCTGGATTCAGCCTGCAGGCTGCATTTTGCCCAGGCCTGTTTTAAGGCCACCAGTTCATCTATTCATCACAAGCCACCTTTCCTATTCCCCCGCCTCAAGGCAACAACCAGAATTAGACCACAGAATTACAGCCGGCAGGAGACTTGGATATTGTTTCACAGGCAGAGACCAGGGGGGACTGAGGTGTACTAGTACCCAAGGTAGCCACAATGGCAGGAGAATGATTAAATGAGACCTACTCAGATGATGAAATAAAACAGAGGCTGAACAACTGTGCCATTATGGAACTGTTCTGACTTGGAAATGGTGACCTTAAACATATTTTAAGACATCCCTTTATAAAATAAGGGTTTTATGGAAATGAAGACAAATTTATTTAAATTAGAAACCAATAGAATATTGGGAAAGAAATTCTGTTGCCTGGTTAGAAAGCCATACTGGTACATCAAGACTAGCATTATAAAGAGAATACCACAACTCTGACAGTATGCTCTCCAACTTAATTTGTCAGTACATAAAAAGGTAAATACTTTATTTTCATTGGCTCTTTAGTAGCCATCACATCCTTAGGATAGGGCATTATCTGGAAATCAGTGACCAACTAAATCAGTCTGAAGTTATCTATCCAATCCTTAACTGAGAGAGGTACCCTTCTTGCCAATAATTTCTGCTTACTTATAACACAGCCTTAAAAACTCACAAACTTTACCAGCACAGGCAAAAACATCTACCTACTCCTCCACTAACACTACATTGAGAAAATATTCCTCATTTGTCTAAAAAAAAATTATGTGACTGGGTGAATACAATTTCAGAACTATTGGAAGCTGAATTGAATATTCAGGTAGTCAGATGACTAATCTCATATATAAGGGCACAGAGAAATGGACTTCCACAAATGCTCTCTCCATACCAAATAAAAAGGAATTGTGTAGAAATATACACTACAGCAGAGAGCTTTTCCTGAGCTTCAGGCCATCAACCACCATGGCCTGTGACTTAAATGTTATTTTCAAAAATAATTTCCATGTAAACAGGATGCTCATACTTAAATGCCTTTAGATTTTAGTCTAGATAACTAATATTGCCTCCATATTTGCTGTATTTGATAAAAGAAATAAATATGAAGGACACTGAAAATACTGACCATTAGTTATGCTAAGGCTAAGCTGGGAAGGATTCAGTCTAAGCACTGTAAATCAATAGCAAAGTTAGAAAAGGAAAAGTTTCAATACATACTAGTTCTTCTAAGTCACAGCTATCATTCATGGAGTATGTTTTCACAGGGCACGAAAACAGTTCTTTATTTAATCACTTCTGCAAACAAAAAGAAAATATCACTAATAAAATCCTATGTGAAACTTAGGGCTAGAATAGAACTTTACAACCACTACTCAGCTCCTGTTAAAAGCTCACAACATATTAGATTGCATAAATTTTCACAGCTATTTAAACTCTTTCTCCTAAGCAATATTAAAAACATTAAGACAATATCCTGAAAACTGCCTTGGTAGCAAACACTTTGCGGTATACTTAGTAAGAAAACTCCAAATACTCCACTGCATTTGTTAGAATGATTGTAATTATTTGTGCAAACAGAATATGTGTACTTATTTGTGATAGCATGAAAAAACAAAAAACATTTTATTCAATTACCTGTATGTGTTCTCAACACATTGTGATGGACATTGCCAAAAACTGAAACATAAAATGCTAATTACTGCATTTTAAGTTTAGACCATCTTTTGATTAAGTGCAAAAAGTTATGATTCCAAAAAATCTTTCTGCAAAGTCCAAGAAAAAAATATTGCATACACAGCGATAACCATTAAGGATTATCCACTTGCTATTTCATACTCAAATATATTTATGCTTTTTTCCTTACATGGTAGCAACCAGTATTCTCTATAAGATGAGTGCTTTGGCGGCCACCCAGAAGAGATTCAGGGCTGCCCAGGTGATTAGCAAAGCACCAACAACAAGGCAGCATGTGTTTCTACAGGTGATGCACATCTGCACATGTCTCGGTACACATCATAAACTTTATTCCACATATGGATGGGAAAAAAAGAGGGAACACTGCTACCAACACTCCATATTTCATCCAGAATTTTATTATTTGGATTTCAGCAGTTAGTATAACTGGTCAGTAGTTCAAATCCAGGTAGAGAGCACAGAATCCATTTATTACACAATGAAACAACACAAACTAATATTTCGTGAAGAAACTGTTTCACTACATCTGGTAGAAATATCTTCCAAACATGCATAAAAATTCTTAAGTTTAATCTTTGAGAGCTCTATGTAATATCTGGTTCCTATATATACAAAAAATACATTTAACTTATAATTATCTTACCCAATTAAAGACTTATAAAATTACAATTTTATTCTTCACAACATACAAAAAATACAAAATGACTATTATAATGAAGTTTTCATCCAAATTTCACTATAGGAATATGTATCCACATATACCTGATTTGATATATATATTCATCATGAATATTTGTATCTCGAAAGATTATTTTAAAATGACTTTGCAGATTGGCATTTGTATTGACCAATCTTTTCACTGGTAAATAGAAAATTTTTGATAGAAAGGTTATACTGTGAAAAATTATAACCTATCTGTACCTTTAATCTGCATTTTACAGCAAATTACACTATGAACATTTCTACAACTCCAGATGTATCTTGTCTACTAGGAAGGACATAGTGTTTCTTCCATGTAATTACAAACTTGGATAAAGCAGCATAGGATGACACCTGACTATAAACTGCTATTCACATAATGAAAACCACAAAAAACAGAAGCACATATCTCTGTAGCAGTTTGGTGATACCAGTGAAAAGGAGAAAATATGTGGGTCAAGTAAACAGTTTATGAAAAAGAATTCTCTTGATTGTACCAAATAAAGTACCCATAAAACTCTCCACTCTTGGGTTTACATAAGCTGAATTATATTTCAGTGACAGATACACTCTTCACAGTATGGTCATCAAAAAAAGAAAATTAACAAAGAAACCAGTTATTAAAAAGTATCTTGGAACCTAATTCTGCAGTCCTTATTCAGGATGAACTTTTACCAACTTAAACAGGAGCTAGATTCTTATTTGTACTAAATGCATTTTACATGCTGAAAATGTAGAGCAGTGAATCCTTTAATAGGTTTTTGTTTGACAAGAAGATTTTTTATAACCAAACATTTATTTTTCACGTTTGGGAGCGTTTGCTCAATTTTTTTAAACATAGGAGATGATTTATATATATGGTCAATTACCTTTATATATGGTATTGTGTTACTGGTACAGAAATAAGTAATAAAACTCCGAAATATAAAAACTCATCTATTTAAATAGGTAATTTTACAGAGCCTTCTTCCTCAGTCTCAAAAATTTGTGGCAATCACTCTGCTTCTTAGAAAATTCAAAGCCATCTAATTAAAATTATATTAACTTCCCACCAATATAGTTAATATAACCCATTTCATATATCATTCACACAGGCCAAAATGCTTAGACATGGGAGCCTAAAGTTAGACTCCTAACTCCATATTTAGGCACTTAATCAAGTGGCTTGATTTTCAAAGGAATTGAGCATCAAGAATTCCCACTGATTTTAGTGGGAACTGTGAGCATTCAGAATTTGTGAAAGTCAGGCCATTTTGATTTATGTGTCTATCAATGGATAGATTTAGGTGCCTCCCTTTGAAAACAGTGGCTATTATTAACATGGATAGCCAATTTGAAGGAGAGATTTATTGTTCAATAAAGTAGTAAGTTTACAGTATGTTGCACAGTAAATCAAAACCAACCACTACGATTATCTCTACATTTCAGCCCCTCCCTCGGGTTGCCGTGGTATCATTTATGCTGCATTATAAATTTGGCTATTTCCATATTAAAAGCTCTTAACCATTTTGAGCACTGATAAAAATTCAGGTGTACTTTTTTCAAAGGAACAAGAAGCAGTGTTGCCAACAAAAATAAAAGGTAATGAAAAGATTTAGATTTTTTTTCTTTTAGAAAAACCTAAAATAACTGTAACTATAAATCTGTTCATGAAAATACTCCGTGAATTAACACATTTTTTAAAAATAAATAAATATTGGTTTAATAGCACCATTAAAATTAGCTTTAACAGTATCATTGACATTGTTGACTATGCATTTTAAGTTCAAGCAGCCAAACACAATTTGGAAAGGGTCTGTATAGAACTTACTTAGACTATGATTGTGTACATTTATTATTAAAGTTGAAAGTCAGAAATTTATTTCAACTCTTTCTTTGTTTACAAGTGCATAAACAAAAAGAAGCTGTTAATGAGCTATGGACAACAGTAAGAACTTATGGGGTAACTAAAGGTATAAAGGGAGGAAAACACAGTTACCAAGTGACATGTCCTAGTATTACTTTGAACAGATCCACAAGTCATGATATTGTTTCACCCAATTATTTCAGAAAAATTAAAGTTACACTTTCTCCCCTATATATTTAAAAAAAATGATCTGAGGCTGCTGTACAAAAGGCAGTTTTAATATTTCAGACCAGAATTACAGCCTCTGTAGGGAATATACTAGACTAGAACAAAAGAGCTTGAGGTATTCAACAATATTTAGATAACATATGCTGGTAGGACACCTTACAGTTTAAATTTCTAGAGAATCACATTCCTCTTAGGTTTCAAGAATTGCTTCCCTGCTCTCCCTCCCACTTGCCTTTCAAGTTCAGAAATTCTCTTGCTAGATTTAAGCAATCTGCCTGGTTACTGTTGTCCCAGACAAAATCAGAGCTTTCCAGAGAATATAGTTTGCCCCTACAGAAATACATACAATTTCTGGCATGCAGTCAAGCGCTTTTACAAAAGCAATTGCAATAATAATAATAATAATAATAATAATATAATCCCAATTCAAGCACTGTATTAGTGGGTACAACTTTATCACTCACTCTGTAACTTTCAGGTATCGAGTGATAAATGAAAATCTCATTAGCAAATATAGGTAAAATCTAAAGAGTCAAAGTCACATGAATTTCTCCATAGCAGTGCATGCTGAAAATTATATTCTAGCGTTTTATATGGTGACATTTAAAAAAAATAATCACATTAGTTACTCTATTGTTTTTAAACTCCTGGTTAACTTTGTATAAATGTGCTGGGTTACTGAAAGTCTGCAGCATTTTGGTGTTTGAAAAGTTCTGAAAGAGCTGGAATTACTCAGATTTCTTGTGTTCTTCATTATGGGAAAGTATCTTTCTCCTCTGATGTAGCATATGGAAATACAACTGAGGAAAGACTGAAAAGAGAATAGACTCATGTAAATAAAAGTATGAAATCGGGTTTGTGTCTAAACAAGACACAATCACACATTTAAGATAATCTCCCTACCTTTGAAAATAAAAAATTGCTTATCCACTTTCTCACAAAAAATTGTGGAGAAAAATAGAAGCAGTGGATGATGCACACTACTGTCCCTTCTGACTTCAGATATCATGCATCAATATCAGTACAATTTTATTTTATTTCAAATACAAAATACTATATATTATTTTTGTGCATGACAGTGTAGATCTGCACTCCAATGTATGCATCAAGATAACGTAACAGAACACTGGCAGAATGTTTGCCAGACTATATATCTAACTACAGGTTGTACCTCCCTGGTCTGGCACCCTCGGGACATGAGTGGTTCCGAACCAGAGAATTTGATGGACCGGGGAAGTTCAGTGCTGGCTCCTCTGCTGCTGTGGGGCTCTGCTGCAGCAGCTGCAGATGGGGTGGCTTTGAGTGAGTGGGGACTGATGGGGGAAGTGCTTGGGAAAAAAAGCATGGTGGCTTTTGGAGCCAGTGGCCAGGGATCAGGAGTGTAGCACCTTAAGAGCTCATCAAACCCCACAGCCACCAGGTTGCACTCCCGGCCCTCAGTCATGAGGCTCAGCAGCCAACCTGTCTCTTCGCCCAAGTGTCCCACTGCCTCCGTTCTCCACCTCCCTCCCTGAGCTTAAACACCACAAATAAGCTATTTATGGCACTCTGGAAGTGCAAGGGAATAGTTGCTAAGGGTAGGGCCCTGGCTTTTCCCTGTGAATGCTCTATCTTGAGAGCACCCACCGAGATGCCGAGTGAGGGAAGTCCAGATTATAGAGGTCCAACCTGTAGGAGCTAAACAAACACAGAGTGAAAAGATTCCTGAACTATACACACAGAATAGGAAGAAAAGCTCTTGGGAGGTAGGGGGGAGGTAAAAAGAAACAAATCTCAGAAAGTAAACAAATTGGGTATAAGTTTCTTTGATCCTGAAGGAAGGATACAAAGAGTCAGAAAGTGGAATAAGATTGTGTTTATACTATAAGTTATAGTGTTTGCAGCATGGGAGAACAAAATGTGAGACTGAAATCATGCACATATGATATGAAGAGCTAAACAAGCTGAATACTAGTTCTAAACAAACTCAAGATCCTTTCATCCTAGTGAATCATCTGAGCCTGACAAGGTTAGTGTCAGCCTAGGTTATGTCAATTGAGTACTCCAGGAGTTTTCATAACAAACCAGATCAGCCCATGGATATTTAATTTGTGAATTAAAAAAGGTTTCAAAGGTGGCTATATATAAATCAGCACTTAATTCTTCTTTCACTTTATTTCTCATATAGTTTCTCCCCTATCCCCATTTAGATTATCTCCCATTTGACAGAATTCCAGATTATACTGTATTACTGCACTCCAGGGAAACTAGTGTTAATGAATACATAAACTTGGTAAGAAACATTGTTGCACAATTATTCCAATTAAACAAATGCAGGAAATCTGTCACACACAGGATCCATTATGAACAATCAAGATTTTCATGAGAGAATTATTTTGGTCAGAAGCGAATTTAACAAGACTGTCATTTTAAAGCTAAAGTTTTTCATGAAGTAGAGCTACAACAATAAGGAAAATTAATTATATGGTTTCCAATGAGGAAGGTTTCAAAAATTTGTAGTCACAGTAACCCCAGTATTTTCAAAGTTTTCAGTGGTAGTTTAGGGTCAGGAAAAGTGAGGGCACAGCAGAGTTGTGAAGTTGGTCAGCATGAACTGAATAAATTGATTTGACAGCTAAATTCTAATTCTCATGTACTACCAAAATATCAAAGGCTGCAAGTTTATGCAAGCAGACACCTAGTACAAGTTATACAATAGCAGACATATTTTAGGAATGTTTTTAATTCTTTGGGTCAGCACACATTTTAATGCTTATCTACCAGGGTGATCAGAAAAACATTTCACATGGTTGGATTATTATTTCGAAATTATGTATATATCTGAAAAATACTGATGAATCTACACTGGAAATAGAACATACAATCAGAAAGAGCGAGTCCTGCCCCAAAACTGAGTTATTTTAAGGGTGAGAGTAGATGCATTGTTGTGAAGACTCAGTTTTCTCCACCCTGCTGGGTTCCAACTACAATCCAACAATTCCAGTGGATGGATGAAAGTGAAAAAGTGAAACTTTTCTTCTTTGTGTATAAATTAATCCAAAGTTACTCTGCCTCTTTGGAGCTAAGCCAATTTATTATTCTTGGACACAAATGAATGAAATGCAGTTTTCATAGCAGATGGAAAAGTTTATGACTTTTGTGACATCAAGATTCATAAGAAGCCTTACTTAGGAGATAATAAGCGCTGGTTGTAGAATTCAACACTGTTCAAGTTTAAATCTTACTTAGGATACGATGCATCATTCTGCATAGACTAGAAGGCTACGTAGATAATAAAAAGTTCAGAGAAAAAACAGCTGTAGAAATAGCTAGACACCAACAGCATTATCATTACATTATTTTGAACTTCAGATTCATAATGGTATAACTGCATTGGTTACAAGTTAACTTTAAAACAACACAGATCAAAACACAAGACCTATATTATATCTTTCTAAATTATGAGTCAGACAGCCTCTCCCCCTCAAGAGAAGATACAAAAACAGTGTTCCCCACAAAGATAATTTTTGTTTGAGCAGAAGTACATTGCTCTCCTGTTTGTGTGAGGCAGCAAATCTGCCACTCAACTACTTAACTACTGGAAAATTCATGAAGAGGTAAATAAGACAATCCTAAACAAACAAATATCTGTATAACTATAGACTAACTGTGTTCAGAACAATTAAGTCCCATAAATGGATGAGAGCAGCATAGAAAAAAATAATGTAAACAATCAACATTTGCAAAAGATACTACAATTATTTTATATTTCAAATACAGAGGGAAAAAACCCTAGATTCTTAATTACCCAAGTGTGGCAAACATTGGCAAATGCTGACTGCTCTAATTCTACTTTGGTCTGATCTTTATTCTTTAAGAAACTTTCAGAAAAGTATGTTGCTACTAGTTCGCTACACATACAGTTTAATCACTCAGTTTCTCAGTAAGCTTTGTATATATCGTTTTCACACAAAACCCTAACATAATGGTATACTTACTTGGAATATAAGAGATCATAACCAGGATCAGGAATGTATAGTAATCAAAAGAAAAATTGTATTTGTTAGGTAAACTAATGGAATACAAGCCAGCCTGTCTGACGAAGGGCAAGGCAGCATATATTGTGAGTAGTTCTCCCGAGACTCCCATTGGATACAATACTATGAACAGTGTGTACCTAGAAAAAAACATTAGGATATAAAAAAAATCAGTCCCAAACTATAAGAAGTGAAATTATTAGTTACATTTTGATGATTACTCCACTTTTCAATCACCACAAAAAATTAATATTTGCCTTATTTCAGCGTTAATTGATATTTGATTAGAGCAGCAGGAGCAAGATGAGGCAGCTATCTTCCAGTAAAATGTTCACACCAATAATTAAAATTTCACTGAATGCAGAAGTGTCTTCAATAAGCTGCACATTATATTGGAATATAACCCTATAAAATTGCAATTCATATTTCATAACCATTGTAAGTCCCTATCTGCTTTAAATCTAGTCTAATAAGAACTAAAAGTACTTGCAGGTACAGTAACTGTCCCTGAACCTCTGCCAATTTGAGGGTTTTCCATCACATTTGCTTTTTAAAAGACATTTTGCCTTACTGCTATATGAAATATCTGTACAAAGGAAGCGGTCTAAAATACAGTGAAACTAACTATACACAGAATGCAGTCCATTTTTTTCTTCCCTCTCTTATAACAGAGATAACTTACAACAATAATTAATATTTTCAGACGGAAGTGTTATTTTAAATTTTTTTAACTGAGGTTCCTTTAAAATAGATAATATAGGAGTCTACTGCAAGATAAAGAAATTTAACATATGTATTACATCACTGATGGTCAGCTACCAACATCAGCTTATGAAAGGATAACAGAAACTTTTAACAGGATCACTGGCATTTCTTTAATGTTCTTTCCCCACTACTCTGAGAAAGATGCATATAAAAAGAAAATTAACTTTAATACTTTATAATTTGGCAGGAGGACTCAGAAGATAAGCTTAGGACCTCAAGCTACTACTTTTTTTTTTTTTTAGAATTGCTAGATTGAGTGTACATTGTCCTTTGAATTTCCATGTTCCCATGTAGCCAGAATCTTAAAACTGGTATTCATATTCACTATGAGAAAACAAAAAAATCAAAATTTGACTGTGACTGCGAAGTAATCAGTCTGATCTATTGGATTACAAACTCTTATTTCTCTTCTGAGTTAGTGTTGAAAGTTAGTACAGAAAAACTCCAATAGTCCAGCATCGAATAGTCCGGCACTTCTGATAGTCTGGCATCAAAATGGCAAGACCCTAGTGAGTGAACTTCGGCAAAAAATGAGTCACAAGATAACAGCGGCGGCAGCTGAACTGAGCAAAAAGGGTAAAAAAGGCTTAAAAAACGAAAACATTACAGTATACTGTATACAGTATGTACAATAAAAAGGGTTAAGAACACTTTATATATAGTATATAATGTATACAGTATATATATATATATATATATATAACCAGTTTATATTACCTCCTGATAGTCCGGCATATTTGATAATCCGGCACCACTTAGGTCCCATAGGTTCCGGATTATCGGAAGTCTACTGTACATTCATTCACTATAGACCACTGATTATGGAAAAAGCAAATGTAATATCTGATACTTCTACCATTAGTCACCAAAAAAAAAAAAAATAGAGTAAGTTTATTACAAGAACTTTTATTTCTTTTACAATCATTTTGGATATGGGGCCTCCAATTTGGAGAAATTAAAGATCATTAATGTCAACTTCTATTTAACAGATTTTAAGCAAACAAATTGCCAGATGGGAGCAAGAGCTGGACATGGAAACATATTCACTTGTGGCTATGGGGTGACCTCCATTAGCTAGTAATTAAAGCTGTTGTATACCACCATTATTTTCACTGCTTGCTAGACTAATTTTCTTTTCTGTCAAGTCAGTAAAATATGTGGGTGCTGCAAAGGTCAACTGGTCTTTTATGAATCTTACCTGGCCCATTTGATGAGGTAAGGGAGATGATTTAATAGGCTAAATGTATAAAAGGAATAACGTATAATTTCAGTGATCGTCCAGGCAACAACAAATAAGAGGACGCTATCTTCATTCTGTACCTATTAAAGAGAGGAAGAAAATATACAGTACAATGTCAGAAGTTATAAGAAGAAATAGTTGTCAAAATAATCCACCCTTTCACTTTGTTTTATTGCTTTACTTAAAGTGAATTCCGAAGATTCAGCTGAAGATCAACATGATGTTTTAGTAACCATTTTCCCTGTTAATTCTAAACATTCTAATATTGAAAAATTCTGAAGAAAAATGGAAAGTATTTTTTAAAAGTATGAAAACCTGCTATCTTATCACTTTGAGCTACACGGATGCTTCCCCTTACCCTACACAATACATTAGGCCTAAATGAAATGCAGAAAACCCATGAGATAATTTTATACTACCTAAATTCCCAACCTTGTACCCATCCCATATTGCGTCTTCAGTCTCACCAGGGAGGCGCTATTAGGTTCAGTTAGGAAAGGGAGAATGGTCCATTGGCTGGGCAAGTCACTTAGCCTCTCCATGTCTTGGTTCACCATGTATGCAATTAGGATATGTCACAAGACATATTTGAGGCAGGGAAAGTAAATACATTAAAAACTGTTTGGCGCTCAGCTACTATGGTGTTGGGGGCCATTTTATTTTCTCTCTCTCTCACACACACACACACACACACACACACACACACACACAGAGAGAGAGAGAGAGAGAGATTGAGATTGAGATTGAGATTGAGACCGCTCTAAATATTGGAAATTGGAGGTTGCTAGTTTCAGATGTGAAAGAGTTTTTGGCACCCAGGAACGTATGGGAGTCTATTTTAGTTTTGTGAATCCATGAGAAAGCTGAAGCTTCTAGCACTGCAAAGAAGATACATCTCCCCTCCCACTCACAGCCTTTGTGTATAAAGGGTGAAGGGGAAAAAAGGCGGAGCGGACAGGAGGACTCATGAGCTACCTCTGTAAACTTGGCAACTATCTGCCTCATTGCATCTTTTCCCTGTTCCTGCTACTATATCCAGTGCAAAATCTGCTAAAATTAGGAGTAGTGAAATAGTTAACATTGATATTTAAGCATCATGTGGTTTCACTGTAAATACATTGAAATACATCAGAATGGGCCATTCTGCTCTAAGATATATTGTTTCACAAAGACATTACTGCCTCAAATTCAATCAATTCACATTTTGAAAGGTATTTTCACAAACAAGATTTTTTTTAAAGAAAGCTTACATTTTGAATCATAAATTCAAAATAGGACATCTTATGTGTCCATAAAATACATTATAAATAGGAGCAAGCTCTAATAGCTTAGTTCAGGAAACACTTTTAGGCACAGTTTTCTTTCAGGAGAAAAATGTCATGAACTTTCTCTGATATTAGCGAACACCTTGAGCCCAATTTTGCTGGACCGTAGAACAACAAAAGCAAAACAGCTCACCTACTGGTACTTGCATATTTTCCTTTTTTCTCCAACTCTTAAAAGAGGAAAAGGAAGTCAGTAGGTATGGGTGGTACACACACAATACACCCTGGGTAAAGTACATGCACACACACAAAAAAAGGAACAAGAAAATATATGGGCTTAGGGAAATGTTTGCTCATAAATAGGACTGATCATATGTTTGCTTGTCAAAAGCTCATGGGACAACGCATAAAAATGCTATTTTATTACACTCAAACTACAAAAACAGATGGCATTATATAAGAAAAACCCAGCAACCTCAGAGAACATTTTTGCAGTTATTCGTGATCATTTTGCTTGTAATAGTATTTCAAGTTACTCCTTCCTCACTCTGCAATATGAAACCCTGATCATTTGTTTGCGACTGTATATCAATCTCATTAATATATAATATATAAATAATAGTTCTTTATGGCAGGAATCAGGTTTCTTACGTATTTCTAGAACACCTAACAAAAAGGAGTCCTAACTCCTGTTTGGGAGCTTTGGGTAATACTGAATCAAATACCAATTGCAAAGTTTACTCCTCAAGCTGGGGAAAATTAGGAGCACTGCACAGACAGGGATAGGCAGTTTCAAAGCACTTAATAGCTGCTCCTTCTGGTCAAATCAGGAGCAGCATTTGGTGAGTTCATCAGCCAATGTGTTTTCCATTGAAAAAAGGAGGGACCCTGATGAAACAAGATTCAGACAAATCTTAAAAAACAACAAATAGTCTAGCAGCACCTTAAAGACTAACAAAACATGTAGATGGTATCCGTGAGCTTTCGTGGTTACAACTCACTTCTTCAGATGACCAGCTCATGATACCATCTACATGTTTTGTAGTCTTTAAGATGCTGCTAGACCATAGGTTCCCAACCTGGGGGGCATGAAGAAATTCCAGGGGGGTACGAGGTGACCCAGCCCCCCCGTGAATCGCCCCCCCAAAGAAAGAGCCCAGTCCGTCCAGTTAAAAAAAATTCAGAAAATACCACATGTGAAATTACCACTTAAGAAAAAATTCTGACATAAATGTGTGTGTGTATGTGTGGGGAGGGGGAGGAGGGGGGAGGAGAGGAGAACCCAGATAGTTCTAATCTAATTCCATGGTATAATTTTCTGTTGTCATAAATCATAGTCGTCTTATTCGCAGTTTCCCAATCTGCACTGAGAACAGTTGTGTATGAAAACTATAAACATGAAACACTGCTCTACCAATCATTGCAAAGGCCATTTAACCAACCAATGTGGATGATGTCTTAGAACTGCATTTAAACCAGCATCCAGACCTGGTGGTCAAACAATGCTAGAAGCTAGTTCAGTAGGAGGTATGCCTGAACTATTTAAAAACTGTTCTCAGCCAAGACTCTTTACAGCAAAGCCATAGATTGAGAATTCATTTTCTTCAGCATTTTTAGCTACTACAATTCTTTATATCACCACAAGTTACCAGTTACTAACAGACATACTAGAATTCTATTGATCATGACTTTCTATGTTTTTGGACACTTTAAGTGAATTAGTTTTATTTGTCCAAGAGGCACATTGCCAAACTGCAAGGGCCTGATTTAGTAAACAATGCCTCAAGCGTCTTATTTGATTAGACACAGGTACTATTAATTCAGCAAAAGTGTCACCCACTCTTGTTGCCTTACAAGGAAATAATCTGGGGGAGCAAAAAAAAAAGGGGGGGGGGACAGCAAGATTTTACCAACCCAGCAGCCTACTGCTGTGCTCAAAAGTCATTTGCACTCATTAAAACTCCTTTTTTAAATTTTAGTTTTTAAGATATCCCTTTTTATCCTATAGCCTTGGGATGCAGTACTAGATATTTGTTTAAAGTATAGTCCATGCTCTTAATATGACTGAATATTTAACATGCTTCTTAACAAAGCTGTTTAGACCACAGATATAAATTTCTGTCGACAGCTATGTCAAATTGATTTATTACCAATAAGGATCTTAGATTTCTTTTAGCTTACCTACACAAATATGAATAGGAAGCAACCATTACATTAGTCAAAACAAAAAGAAGAGACTATTTTGGGATGTAAAGTTAACATTTGGAATTTAGGAAATATGACAAAACAAGGATATTTATCCAATCTCAATTGTTTTCCCTCATGCATATGTATGAAAGATGTCCCAAGGATGGGGGTGAAGAAAAAGGGAGTTCTTCACGCTTTTTGAAGTTATGGTGTGTAAAGGTTAGGGATGTTAACAAGCGGGGTTTTTTTGGTAAACATGTAACCACTGACATTTTCAGCAGTTACATGTTTACATATGGCGGGGAAGAGATGGCTCTGGGAGCCGGGGTGTGTGGGAAGCCAGCTTTTAAGCTGGCTCCCCATGAGCACCAGCTCCCACCTGTCCCCTCACACTGCTGCCTCTGTAAAGGATGCCTCTAACCAATGAGCCCAGGCTCATCAGTTACCCATTTAAACGTGTACACTATCGCATCTCTAGTAACAGGTCTCCTTCATACTCAAAATGGCTGAACTGTTTTGCTCAAAATTTAAAAACAAGAATAATCTTTGGGCAGAAAGCCTTTCTGGAAAACTTCACCCCACAATGTGAATATTTTCAAAAGTGATAAATGATTGAAAATGGGTGGGTGCTTAGAGAGGAAATATGATAAAAATGTTAATTATAAGAGTAAATACAACTCCTTCCAATCCTCCTTTATTATCTTCACAAAGAAAATTTTAGGTTCTGAACGGATATAGGGACTGATGCACAAGTTGTTTCAGTGTTACTATTACTCCAGTTTTGTGACAAGGCAAGTATTATTGTATTAGTGTAAATAATGATGAAATCGGCCTACCGTGTTTTGTCATTATGAGTTTTAAACTTTTGTAAAGCAGACTTCTTATTTTATTAGCCCTGATAAAAGCTCTTGCAAGCCCAATAAATAATAATATCCTAATAAACTAGGATATTAACCTATTCAATGGGCCATCTTTCTTTTCAAGTAATTTTTAGCATACTCGATTGCAGGCAATGTTATAAAATACAGAGAGAGAATGCAAGGATCCCTGCACACCTCCATCAATAGTTATATCCTGTTTTGGAAAGACCATTTATAAAAATAAAATATATATTAGATTTCATTTTGTCAATCTTTGACCTTTCTGATGAGACAGCTAGTGAAAGTGCCAGTCCTGGTACGAACACCTTTCTACTGGAACTGGAGAAAAATAACCAAATTGCATTTCATACAGGCCATCAACAAGCCATCAGATAACAGCAAGGTTCAGTCACTACTGCTCTACGTAGATTCAAACATATGATATGGAACTGGAAGGCCTCTCATTATTATTCTAACATTTTTTCTTGACCAGGGTTTTGCTCTAACCATTCTCTTGCTCTTTTTAATTTGGTACCACAATCCTGCCACACACCAAACAGATGCCAAGCAGACTCCAATCAGGATGTAATTACACTTCATAAATAACAGTTGAAGAGCAGATATTGCACCACGTGCTGGACCTTCCCTTTAAGGCTAACAATTTCCAGGCCTTAATGTCCCAAGTAAAACAAGCTAATCTCTCCCCCATACAACATCACACAATGCTTAACAGAAGTCTATCATGCAGCTATAAGTTAATGCATCTATAAACATTATAGCACCAAACCAAACAAAATAATCAGAAGCACAAATGTGTTAACAGCAAGATTCATGCTTCAGATCATATCAGAATAAAAGTTTCTAGCTGGTCAGGATACAGAGGAAGAATATGGTACTGATGTTTCCTCTTTCCAAGTCTCTATCATATCTACAAGCACTTTGGAAAGCAGGGTATTAAATGCTTCTAACTTGAGAAGTTAAATGGCAAAATTGAAGTTTATTTAAAAAAACTTCATCATGCATATCCATATTATGTCTTACAAAATCCATAAAGGTGCGTAAATTTAATCCTGGACTTCATCAACGAGAGCAGTTGTGCAGACAGCCCTTTAGAAAAAGCAGAACACTCATGACACTGTAAATGTCAGACATTACAATACCAAACCTACCTGGGATCTGGTGTCCATAGATCATATCTTCACCTGACTTGTTACCACTTTCTCAGCTTAACACAAGCCACTTCTCTCATAT